TCGTTGAACCGAATGTACGAAGAAAGCCGTTAAAATAACCATAGCATTAACAACAACCTTGAAATATGAGCGCAAGGTTTATCTGCTAATCAGATGCATGAAAGTAGCGTTCGTTGCTATAGCAAACAGACATCGTGCGTGTTTTCTTTTAGAATCATCATTCGCCGATGGAGAGGAAAAGTGAAATACTATAGCATTTTATTTTATGAAAATGAGATAAAGAAGTTTTAGCACTGAAAGAGAAGTGATCTCGCGCTGATAGAACTTAAAGAATGCAGAATCGAATTTAATTGTGAATCTAATCTAATTGAATCGTTCGGAATATGCAAAAATCGTTCTTGAATCCAATCAAAAACCTATGAATCGTGAATCGAATCGATTCGATGTCTACCCAAAGATTCACAGTCCTAGTGTATATGCATAAGCATCCCGTGGCCGATCCATGAGGCGGACCTGAGTGCCCTCAGCTGAGACGTCCCAATTTTACATCTGAGCTGTTTCATAAAGAGACAGATCTCCACATGAACACCACTCAACTACTTTTTTGATGTTTATGATAGCAGAGGGGCATGAGAACTTACACGTCCTCTGGTAGAATGACTAATAAAGAAGATGAGAAACTGTCCGCCACTTCTTTCAGCACATTTACTTTTTAAAATCAAAATCAATCAACTCAAATCTTTTCCAAATCCAGTGTTCAAGCAGATTTAATGCCACTGAACATCAGTAAGAAACTATCAGGAGGTGGATCACTTGAGCTTCAGTGCCTGCGCTCCCATTGACAGTCACCAGTAGATCAACTCCTCATTTACAACTTTGTGCATTTCCAACAGTCGCTGTCGGCTATGTCGCCTTAAATCACTAACCATCATTGAAAAGGAGCGACTTCCGGTTGCTTTTTTACTGCAAAATACTATCAGTGTGAACAACCCTTCAGGCAGAATGATACAAAAAACAAAAGTAGCATCTAATGTGTCTGTGCTAATCCACCGTAACTCAAAATGCATCCCTGTAGGTGCAGAGAATCCTCTCCAGGCCTTGTGCTCACTTACTGTTGCAATGAGTCACTCAGCCACACCGTCCAAATGACTCCCTCAAGCACTGAGACATCAACCCATGCAGCTAGCGTCACTTAATGCTTGCAATTATGGGAAAAACACATCATGCAAATATGTTTGCATCACGTTATAAAAATGTTCTGTTTGCAGAGAGTGCAGGAATGGACCATAATGAACCTCGTGCATATCAACTAATAATAAACCAATATAAACTAATGATCATTTTTAGTCCACATTCGTCTTCTTCTGTCCATCTCTTTGTCTTCCCCCTTTCCAAACTTCTCTGTTTTCCAGTCTATCTTTTTATCCACATTTCTGTCTCTTTCTGTCCATCTCCCTGTCTCTTTCCCTTTCCATTCTTCTCTCTTTTGCATCTCTTTGTATCCACATTTGTTTTTTTCCTGTCCATTTCAGTCTTTTTTCTGTCCATCTCTTTCTTTTCCCTTCCATCCTTCCCTTTTTTACACATCTATCGTTCTGTCCATATTTCTGGCTTTTCCTGTCCATTTTTGTCCACATTTCTCTTTTCCTGTCCATCTCTGTATTTTCTTTCCATCTTTTTTCCTGTTCTGTTGTCCATTTCTGTCTGCTCCTGCATATCTTTCCATCCACATTTCTTTCTTTCAGTCCACATTTTTGTCTCTTTCTGTCCATCTCCCTGTCTGTTTTCTTGTCCATCTCTGTCCAAAGTTGTTTTTTCCTGTCCATTTTTGTCCACATTTCTGTCTCTTTCTATCGATCCCTGTCTTTTCCCTTTTCATCTTTCTATCTTACCCTGTTTATCTTTCTATCCACATTTCTGTTGTTCCTGTCCATCATTGTATCTCATTCTTCTGTCCATTTTAGCCCACATTTCTCTTTTTCTGTCCATCTCTTTCTTTTCCCTTTCCATCCTTCTCTCTTTTCCTATCTTTCTGTCTCTTGCTGTCCATCTCTTTCTATTTTTCTTTTCCATCCTTCTCTTTTTCATGTCTATCATTCTGTCTATATTTCTGTCTTTTTCTATTCATTTTTTGTCCACATTTCTCTTTTCCTGTCCATCTCTGTATTTTCTCTTTCCATCTTTTTGTCTTGTTCTCTTGTCCATTTCTGTCTCCTCTCCTGTTTACCTTTCCGTCCACACTTCTATCTTTCCTGTCCACTTTTTGTCCAAATTTCTGTCTCTTTCTTAGGGTTGGGTATCGTTTGGGTTTTTTTCGATACCGGTGCCAAATCGATACTTTTGAAATGGTTCCGGTGCCTGAACCGATACTTATTACAAAATAAATAAATACAAATTCCCCCCAAAAATGATGGATTGGCCATTAGCACTATAAACACGTCTGTTTCATTCATACTGGACGCCAGAGGGCGCCCTCGCACAGAAAATCCACACATCCAGTCACAGAAGTAGCAGAACTCATGACCCTCCAGGAAATCCCTTATATGGACAAAGGCATGGCTATTATAGCTGTAACTGACTAAACAGAACATATAAACGTGTTGAATGATAAAACAAAGACAATAAACAATCGACTGCGACAATATAGTTTATCTGTGTTATTCAAGCCATCTCTGGTATTTTCATAATAATTAAGCATATTTATAATAGGGTGACCATATTTTAGTTTTCCAAAAAAAGGACAGTAGGGGGCGAGGTTCGTGGGCGGGGCTTCACCAAACAGTATACATAGCAAGGGTTTTTTTTGTTTGTTGTTTTTTTTGCTTATTTTGTTTTTATAATAAATAAAAAGTAGAAAGAATAGAAAAAGAACAGATAATGCTAGTGTTAGAAGGTCATTATTTATAATAAATAAAAAGAAAATAAGTGGAAAGAATAGAGAATGCTAGTGTTACAGGATTTTTTTTCTTTATAAATAAAACAAGTAGAATATAAATAGAATAGAGAGTGCAAATGTTAGAGGGTCAAGTTTTTAATAAAAAAAAACAAGCAGATAAAATTAGAAGTAGCATTAGAATAGAGAGAGCTAGAGTTAGAGGGTCAAATGAAGATGAAAGAATTACTGCATTCACGCGCTCCTCGGATGCTCTCGTTTCCCGAGCTGTGCTTTTAAGTCGGAATGTGGAAACAACATGGACACTCGCGTTACTACAAAGATGTGTTGGGTTTGTATTATTAGAGCTTTCCGACTTGAGTTCACGTGCATGTTCTCAGTCGGGAAATTATTTTTCGCATGCGGTGCCATTGATGATGCTTCTTACGTCCGTTTCGGAGAACCAGAGGACAAATATTTCAATCGATCGCTCAGGCATGGCACCGAAATCTGTGTTCGGATTCGGTTCTAGTACATACCGGTTACATTGTTGCAATATTGGTACCGGGTTTCGGTACCCAACCGTACTCTTTCTGTCCATCTCCCTGTCTCTTTTCCAGTCCATCTCTCTGTCCACAGTTTGTTTCCTGTCCATTTTTGTCCACATTCCTGTCTCTTCTATCCATCCCTGTCCTTTCTCTTTTCATCCTTCTCTTGTCCCATTTTTATCTTTCTATCCAAATTTCTGTTGTTCCAGTCCATCAGTCTCATTATTCAGTCCATTCCTCTGTCCACATTTGTGTCTTTTCCTGTCCATTTTATCTACATTCCTCTCTTTCTGTCATCTCTCTTTTTTCCCTCTTCCTTTCTATCTACATTCCTGTCATTCCAGTCCATCTTTTTATCTCATTCACCCGTACATTTTTGTCTTTTTTCTTTCTATCCTTCTCTCTTTCCCCTGTCTATTTTATCCACCTTTCTATCTATCTCTCTCCCCGTCCCTGCGTTTTTCTGCACAAAAAGCACTTCTGTTGATTGTCTGATATGAAAATGAAGACATGTAAATGCCCATTTTGTCAACTTTTCAGATTAGAGACGAGTCAGATGAGAGTCCTCTAAATGATGTTCTCAAGTGAATGTAGCAAGAGTCTGCATCCCACGAGGCCAGCTGTTCACACAGACACACCGGCAAACACAGTGAGAAATAAACCTTAATGAATGCATGCCTTCTAAATGCAGCGAAAATGACAAAATATCAAATCATCATTTTGTTCAATTAATTTGCTGAAATGTGTTAGTCAACTAAGCGCCTCGCGCAAGATGCAACAGCTATTATCATAAAAGCTGCAATGCTGTTCTCCTTCAGGTCCTCTTCTAGTGAAACCCTACCTGACTGAAAGCAAGGGCTGACGACCTTCTCTGTTCTCCTGCCTTGATTAATAACTTAATATCTTATTAATTAGGGAATTTAGCTGAGAGTGAAATGCTTTAATTTCCCTGAGCAGAATCTCCTGTCTGAAAACGAGTGATTAAGCGTAAGAGAGGTGAAAAGTGAAGGTCGCAACGCTCCGCTCTCCCCTCTTCTTTGAGCGATTTCCCTGAGCAGAATCTCCTGTCTGAAAACGAGTGATTAAGCGTAAGAGAGGTGAAAAGTGAAGGTCGCAACGCTCCACTCTCCCCTCTTGTTCACATCTTCTTTCAGCACATTTAAAAAGTTTAATTGTATCACGTATGACAGTCCTTTGACCAAAGCCTTTTTTCCCCCTTCGGCACTTCACACGTTTTGTCATGTAAATGGCAAAGTATTTTCAGATCCCATCCGAGGAGTGTTCAGAGAGCAGGAACAGCGGTTGAAGGAAGATTAATGTTCTGTTACCTGCCTATTTTCTCTCAACTTCTTCAGCTCTTCACTAATGGCTTTTACCCTGACACGATAAGATGCCGCTGCAAATTTGTTCAAATGTTAGCAGCCCATTAAAACATTCCTAAATCTGCCTTACTGTTTAAACAAGCCCAAGGGCAGATAAAACCATGCGTTCCCACTCTCACTTTGTGTTCGCTCAAATTGGAGACTTGCCCCACTTGCCTCAGACTCTCCAACCGTGAGGTTAGCGAGGACGTTATTGCGCGTAGTGGAATCTAAATCTAGTTTAGTTCAGCTATGAGCAGGCGTGTCTGATGGACTCACCCTGGGGAAGGTCAGAGGGCAGGTACGGAACTTCTTGAGCGCTGACGTGTGTCCAGTCGAAGTCGTCGTAAGGATCCTGCTGGTAGTCGCATTGTGCTGGGCCATCATCGAAGGTGCAGCCGCCTAGAACAGAGCATCATTATATACATGTTACAACTCAAACACAAATGCACAACTTTATTAGTACAGCACCTGACAGCTTTCGGTGAATGAGACACACACACAGCAAGATCCAAAAGTCTGTGACCACTAGTGAAAATGCAAATAGACTACTTTTTTTTTTGATACAGAGAAAGCCACAGTATTAAACCCACCCAAATACACGTTCTACGTGTTTTCTAGTACATCTTTCATTTGAACACATTGTTTTGTTACAAACTTATGTAATATATATATTTTTTTTTTCAAAGTGACATGTCAAATTAGGATTATGAATGCCAAATTTTCATTTTGTCTACAGACTTTAATTTATAAAGTATTTATATGACAATTTCTTTTTTTAATATCGCATAAATACTTTTGCACATGATCATGATATATGCATATGAAGGGTATATGAATATGATTCATGAATATGAAGTGTTATACATCAAAGTACCGTCATCACTGTACCATGTTCAGTTCTTTTTGTCAGGGTAAATACCTCTACTGATTTACCATATGTCAGAAGAACAGGGTACTTTCTGCACATGCCCAAATCTAGTGCTCTAGTTTCCTCATATCAAACGTCCTCTATTTGTGTTTCTCAAGTCGACAATCATGTTTTTACGACAACAACCCTTCTCTGACACAGCGACAGACTTTGTTACTCATTTACAGAGATTACTGATAGCTCAGTCTTATTGTGAAAACTGCAGACGAAACGGGGTGATAATGAGTACTAGCACATACAGTCAAAGACTCAAATCAGCTAACAGGAGCTTTATAAACCTCTTACAGTCACACAGACCTGCAGAAAGCATAAATCATCTGTGATTCATACCGTTATGAACACACAGAAACAGCCGGTTTGGTATGTTAGAGTTGTGGTGTGGCAGTAGTGTATTACACACTTACAACATAAAGGACAGTGCTCCCATCAAGAGTGTGTCACGTCCTGCTGCCATTCTCCCTGCCAATATCCACCTGTGTGTGTGTGTGTGTGTGTGTGTGTGTGTGTCAAAACTAGCTCCCCTATTCAGTTCATGAGCGTGAGTGTGAATTGTTCACACCCCACAGGATGTTGAATTGATGTTTGAATTGAAATGACAGGATGATGAATTTACTGAACTGCAATACAAAGAAATTTACACAACGGATGAATTGCATTAGTAAAACACAAGCTTTGAGACCATATATAAATAATTACATAATTTATTTTGACTAATTATGCCAATTTATTCTATGACATGTAAAATATATATTTTACACTGCATAAGCATTTTATTTTCTGGTGCTCTGCCATCATGATCCATCAAATAAAATATATTACAATTAAAACTTTAATGTAACTATATACCATTTAATACCAATTTAATATAAATGTAAATTTCTAAACACACACACACAGATATATATTGGTATACAGTATGTTGATATTTCATATACTGTAAAATTGATATTTTGATATTGATATTAAAATTGATATTTCAGATTTTTTTAGTATATGCATTTCATTGAGTGTTCATATATATGTGTGGGTTCAGATGGGAGCTGATGCAGTGATGCAGTGATGGCACAGAACAGACATGAGAGTAGGCAGCAGGACGATCTGTGTGTGTGTGTGTGTGTGTGTGTGTTTCAGTTTCTCATGCATGTCTTCTAGAGCAGTGTTTCCCAACCTTTTTTTAGTCGTGGCACCCTTTGGAAATTTTAACAAACTTGTGGCACCCTACAACATTAATTTTGTCACAATATTTGAATTTCTAACTTCGATATGATAATTTGAAAAGTATAGATATTCGGTACAATAGGGAATAACTGCAGAATATAATGTCATACAGATATTTTTAATATTCTTAAAAACAAATTGTCCATCAATGGTGTCAATCAGTAGGCTAATTTCTAATGAAGAGACCAATTTATATGACAGATTTTAATGTAGGCTTTTATACATATGTAAACATTATTTAATTACCATTATAACTAGCTATCTCACAAATTTTTGCTCACTCAGTGTTTTTTTTATTTTACAGCTGGGTAATGTTGGTGCAGTAGCACGAGATAGCTAGATTTCAAACTTTGAATTGAATAAAAAATGACAAGTAAGCAGTCAGTAATAAAATAAGAACAAATAAAGAAATTAATAATGATAGCACAAATAAAAAATAATGACAGGCCTTCGAATTAAATAAATTGCTTTTTAGTTTTTCAGGTAGGTCTAACAGTAGGGTTAAGATATTTAACTTTTTTTTTTTTACCAATTATCCAAATAATGTTTAGTCGTAGAAAGCTATTATTATCAGAACACGCGAGCATAACATAGCGGTTAGCAGATCAATGAACGAGAGGGCAGCGTTACCAGAGTTGCTCTATATATATTAATGCTGTAGTAATTAATCACACTTTTTTCTGAAATTAATTGCGATTAATCCCACCTAGCATTAAAGTTTTTAAATATACTTTTATATTGCAAAAATTTCACATTCAATATTCAAATTAGAAACAACATAAAGACCGTACATTTTTAATATTTGTTTTTATGACTAAGGGTGAGCATATACTTTTATATTGCAATAATTTCACATTCAATATTCAAATTAGAAACAACATAAAGACCGTATATTTTTAATATTTGTTTTTATGACTAAGGGTGAGGATTGGTGGAGTGATGCAGTAGAGTCTCAGTAAAGTATGACAAATTGTGTTGATCTGCTGCATCCTCCACAAACCAACAATGAGCTGCAAGACAAAGAACTGAGGCAAAAAATCTCAGCATTGTTATGGACTTAATGGGCACATTTGTGTCGTTATTTGATTTGTTTAGTATAATAAAGTCCACCAGTGAGGTAAAGGAGAGTAAAATACAATCCCACCCACCAACACTTCCATCTCCTCCAATCTCTAACGCTCAACTACAACCTTCAGACTGGCCATTCATCTGAACGATTAACTATCATCATCTTGAAAAACTGTTTGACAGGCCGTCATGACTGACTCAGAGCTTGTTAGTGACTCTAAAGCAGTGCATTCATTATGTGAGGTTTTCTCACCTGTGTAAAGGTCAGACGCTCCGTGTTTTACATCCACTGACCTTTACAACCTCTCATTGATTTCACAGAGAGAGCAGAAATCCAGACAGATGAAGGTGTTAATTAAACAGCTCTGCATAATGTTGGGAAAGAAATATCTGCACCTTCCCAAGAGGCCACACAAACTTATCTCCGCACTGAGGGCTGTGACGCGAGCCCAAAGTTACACATGGAAATGAGTCCTCATCGTTCAACAGATCTCTACACCAGACTGTGTCGCAACAAAAATTACAATAATCTCAACTTTGAGACACAAGCACATTTCGCAGCTTTTCTAGTTGCAGTATAATGCAATATGTAAGAGTAACAGACCTGAGCTGTGCGTTTTCATTGAATTTTAAGGGAATATCCTGTGCCAGTGTGGCGTAGACTTAGTTTTGAGCGAGTAAAACACGTTTCCTACATTTTGCACTTCAAACACATGCAAATGTAGGAAACGGCTGACAACGACTTCTGCAAACAGACCGTTGCAAGAGTGGATTGAGTGTGTAAATGAACCAAAGAAGAAGACACTGACTTTCAGAGGGCAGGAGAGACGTCTGCACACTTAATCTGACTGATTATAAAGGCAGACTAATAATACCGCTGTCATTTACTGCTAATCCACGGACTTAGTGCCATGTCATGCTAAAATCATTTGAGACACACAAAATTAAAAGACGTGTCACTTCTCATGCATCCAAGAGCACTAATAAAAGTTGCATTATGAGCTGAGCCTCAAATCTCTAACAACACCATTTCATCTATTACTGATCAAATTGGCCATAAGCTTGAAAATGTGTGTGGCGGGTTTTGTTTAAAAGTGCAAATATCACAAAAAAATTGCATATGCATGCTTATTATTATCGGTTAAATGTATTTGCGAAAGGCCAGTGTGTGTATTTTTAAACACTTAGCCAAACAAAGAGACTCCCAAACCAAAGCCAATCATCTTCAAATTCAAGACAAAATACAACACCCACTGAATCGTCTCGCAGCATTTAATTTATCTGCAGCACAGGAAATTGAGCTCCGTCCTCGCAGCGGCGTCTGCCCACATTCGCACACACATAATATTCTCCAGCATCACAGAACCAAACACCTCCACACACCATCTGACTCTCTTTGACGCGCTTGGCTCCGCCGACGGCCGGAATAGCCGCGGATAGCTGGCCCGAGGACAGAGTGCCCGCTTATGTGCCGAGGACAGAATTCATCTGTCTAAATGGGGCAGCGGCTATTCAGGAGCTCCAAATCGCCACAATCCCACTGCCTTATACAGCAAATATCTTTCATAGCCCACCGAATGCATGGCGTTTCACGGCCACAGCGCTCGGCTCACTGTGCAGGACAGACGGGCAGAGCGCTTTAATGAGTCCATAACGCGGCGCTCCGCTCCAGATGGGCCCGAGCGCGGCTCCTGCATTCAGCGACGCTGCAAGGACACTAACGGGGATGATTTGCATACTAATCTATGGCTGCTAATATTCAGCCTTGCTAATGAAATACTGTAATAGCCTGCTCTTCATTTACATAATAAAATAATTATTGTGTCTGATAAAACCTCAAGGGCAAAGCCCGTTCGCAGTCGCCAATAAACACGGGTTAACAACTCCATCCCCGCACGCTCATAAACACCCACTTATTAATAGCGATCGAGAAAAGAGACTTTCCCTGCAAGAGCGCAGGACACAAATCAGCATCAAGTCAGCCCATGTTCTCGAATTAAAACTCAGGAATCGATTCCTAATATTGCAAACTAGCCAGATGTGGAAAACGGTATGGCGGGAGGGGATGGAATCAATCATGAAGCCATCAGCTCCTGAACTAAATTGAAAAACACAAATAATGATCCAATCAACATGAAGAAACACAGATAGCGCTCGTGTTCTTTTGGGTGAAATGGGAAAATGT